GATTATTTCAACAAATAAAAAAAAATATTAAAGGGATAATTTTTGGGTTAAAATGGGGTTGGCAGGCAGGCCAAAATACGACCAGTTTAATAAACGGGTTGGGATACATGATTTGAACCTAATAAGTTTATTAAACACGTCAATACGATCCCAACATTTTAAGGTCGAGTTAGCGGGTTGGGTCATTTATTGACACCCTTACGATGGTGCTCGGAAGATTGTAGTTGGGTGATAATGATTAGAGGATTATATCCAGGTGTTGGAAATTGAAGGATTATAGTCGAGCAATAGTAGTCGAATGATCGTAGTTAAATAATGATTATCGAAGGATCATAAAATGGCATGTCACTCCCTAGAATTTAGTAGAAGAATTAAATCATAAACATAATATATATTAAAGTCAGCTAAATAATTCAAAATAATTAAAATAACATACAAGATCATTTAATTTTTATTCTAAAAGAATTGTACGCATATAATCCAGTCCAAATTTATTTTATACATTAAAATCGAATAACTGGATTATAATATTATATAAATACCTCATAGTGGAGATAAAACTTGACTATCTTAATCTTATCGTACTCTATTTAACTAGACTTTTCTCTTTTTTTTTTTTTTTTTTTTTCATAAATAACAGAGTTGCTTCTTGTGGTTAGTAGGCCATCTCAACTTCTATTATAGACAACACTCATATTTGCAAGGTACAAATAAGATTTTTACATATTCATTATAAATAAATAAATAATATTTTTTCCTGTAGGAAATATAAATAAAATTGAACTCGAATATTTGTACTTTTACTTACACTCTCACACACACACGCGCACACACACACACACAAATATATACATAAAAAAATTATCTTGACCGGGCATGAATCTCGATGCAAAATCAAGTTGGAGACTTACAAAATTAAAATTTGGACCTTCCGAACTCCAATTTCAGCAAACTTATAGTCGAACTGAGTGTCTCGAGAATACGAACCCAACGACACCAAATCCAACCCAATCCAAGCCCAACCGGGTCCAAATCAAGGGATATAAGTGCTATTGGAAGGTTCGAACCACAATTTGGATTACCAAATGGTTTTCAAACATAATGTGCTTATAGTCAAATCGAGTGGCTCGACGAGACAAATTCGATGAGCCCAACATCACCAAAATCCAACATTATTAAGACATTCAAATGTCCATCAAACAGTCCATGATCAAGGGATTCAACATCGGTCATCCATCCAACCACTCCCCATTTACCCTTGATCTCTTACCTATTTACAGGGCATGTCACTCCATAAATCTATAAATAGTCCTCTCATTTCTCTTGAAAGGGGGATTGAAGCAAGAAGAGAAGAAAGAAAAGAAGGAAGAGAATGAAGAAGCTCATCCACGACCACCGCCTGAGTTCACCGGACCACCACTTGAGGCCCTCGCCTTCGTCGGTGTTGACCTCGATTTTGCCTAGACCCGGGCCTGAAGAGTTGACTTGGTCAAATTGACCAAGTCAGACCCCAAGACCCCCTCCCACGGGTTCAGTGAGTCGATTTGAGTCTGTTGAACCCATACCCAGGCCATGGGTCAACCTGGTTGACCAAGTCAACCTAGGTTGACCTATTTGGTCCTTTTGAGTCCTAATTCCAATTCTAATTAATTTCAACCCTTGCACGGCTCAAACCCCTCACTCCATTGACTCAATTGACTGGTTTGACCAAGTCAAATTTTGACTTGGTCAAATCTAGCCATTAATAGGCTAGATTAACCTATTTGGAGCCCATTCAATGGTATTTAATGCCCTAATTGATTTCTAATGGATTTAAAATTTAAACCACGGCCTCCTAAGCCTGGTTTCCCTCATAATGACCCTCTGATTAAATCTAAGCCGTCAATAATAGGGCTAGGAGGTTTAAATAGGAGGATTTTAGTCTAATTGAGGACTTTTGACTCTTGCTTAATCTCGAGAGCTCCTCAGCCCCTGAGATTCGGTGAGAGTGCTTTCACAACCCTTCCCCACCTTCCCCGACCAAATCCCGACCACCTCGAGCCGCCGCCGGCGTAATCTCCGGCCACCCGAGGAGATCTACGTTCTAAGACGTTTCGAGACCGATCCAGGACGTTTCGAGACGAGGTTTCTTCTACAAACAGGAGCGTGGACAGTCTACAAGTGCCAATGGTTAGTCGTATGCGCGATCCAATCTGCCCTCCCATCGACCCGTTCGTGTCGAGCGTAGAGGCCTAGGATCGTTTTGTCCTACGGGATAGTGCGGCCGTACCCTCTGCATTCGAACCCCCGCGAGCGGTGCTCTTTCGGAGGTCCACAGTCGGACCACCACCTGGGAGCAAAATAGTCTTTACACATGCCACTCCAGAAAAACTATAAATAGAGCCCTCATTCTCCTTAAGAAGGAGGCCAAGCAAGAAGAAGAAGAGAAGAAGAAGAGAATGGGAAGGAGAATCTGCTCCTCCTCGACCACCGTCGGAGTTCTTCCCGCCGCCCGAACACGCCGGAATTCTGCCGGATATTCTGGAGAATGCCAGAATTCTACCCAACTTCCACGGGATGCGGAAATTCTTCTCAATTAAAGACAGAGTTCCCTCCTGACGCCGAAACTCCGCCCAAGTGATGCCGGAATTCTCCTCGTCTACCAACAGACGTCGGACTTCTACCCGACACCTGACCTTCACTCTTCGCCAAGTTTCTACCCGACGCCGGACTTCTATCGGTTATCGGACTTTCGATGGACGTATATTCGAAGATGGATTTTTTTCCTTTGTTGGTCTTCTACCTGACGCCGTCCTTCTGACCTTCATCGTCAGACACAGTCCTTCCAGCCTCCGTCGCAAGGCAACTTTCCTTCTGACCTCCGTCGCCAGCCGACTACGGTCCTCCTAAATTATGTCGCCCGCCGACTGCTGTCCTTCTAACTTACGTCGCCCACCGACTACAGTCTTTCTGACCTCCATCGCCCACCGACTACGGTCCATTTGACTTATGTCACCCAGCGACTACGGTTCTCCTGACTTATGTCGCCCGCCGACTACAGTCTTTCCGACCTCTGTCGCCCACCGACTACGGTCCTACTGACTTACGCCGCCCGCCAACTACAGTCTTTCCGACCTCTATCGCCCACCGACTACGCTCCTCCTGACATACGTTGCCCGCCGACTACAGTCCTTCCGACCTCCGTCGCCAACCGACTACGGTCCTCCTGACTTACATCGCCCACCGACTATAAGCCTTCCGACCTCCGTCGCCCGCCGACTACGGTTCTCCCGACCAAACGAACATTTCAATAGTGATTTTTTGTATTCATATCATGTAATGTACTCTATAAATTGTACATTAAGCTAAGGCCTTCTCCCAAGGAAGGGCCTCATTTGTAATCGACTGCAATACAAGTGGATTCATTCAAACTGGGCTAGGCCTCGTGGTTTTTCCCCCTTTTCAGGGGTTTTCACGTAAACATATTGGTGTCTCATGAGAATGCTACACACTCTCTCTTATCTGATTGCGTGTCGAATTTTTGTTCAATGCCAAGATGTTAATTTTATATTTCTCAACCGCCGCGAATACTCCTGGTCGCAACAGTGTTGTTCAATAACATTAACCAATATGAAAAAAGTTGAGAGAAATTCATCAATAATATTTGTTCTATTTGAAGTTATTTATTAGAGAGTCCCTTAAAAGAAAAATTATTATGTCCGGAATACATACCCCAATGAAAATGCGACACGCTTGATACCAAACTTATATTGAGCGGTACTCGGTACCGCTCGATACCTGAGCGTAAATCAGACAGTTCTCCTGTCCGGTGTCCGCACAGAATAATCTCTCCCCTTATTGACATTAACATTTATGAAAGAGATTGGAAAAAATTAACTAAGAATATTTGATCTATCTGAGTTTATTTATCAGTGTGTTATTCGATGAAATTAACTTGTGTGAAAGAGTTAAGAGAAATGTCCCAAAGATATCTGATCTATCCAATATTATTTGCTGGAGTTTTGCTCGATGATGTTAATCTATATTTAAGGGGTCAACTTAAATCCACCTATAATTGATTGTATCTTGTTTGGGAGGGAAAAATCTGTCTTAGATGCATTAAAAATATTAGATGGAAGAATTTACATGTAATGATCCCCAAGATATGACATTATTTGTTCTATGTTGATGAAATGATAGATCGTAAAGGGATTTTATAATGTATTCTATTGGTTAGCTCATATTTATTTTGTTGATCATATATAAATCATTCTTTTAGTATTTAATTTCTTTAATAATGTCAGTATTAAGCGATGTTGGACTATTTTAGATTTGTTTCATTGAAATATTCGATTTGACTATAAACATTTACGATTTGGATATCATTTGATCATCTTACTAATGTGAATCAATTTTAATTATACTTAAAATGTCCGACTAGACTCATTCGAACACAGATTGGGCCACCTTTAGTTTCATTAGGTTTGTACCATAAAGAAACGGTTCGAATATAAGTTTGTTAATTTAATTTTAAAAATTATAACATTTTAATTGATGATTAAATTTTCTAAAAATCAAGTAATTATTTGAGTACAGCTAAAATTTAATTAAGTATAATGGATTAAAATTATTTATATTAGTTTTTCAATTTATACTATTATATTATATTACATATTATATCTTCTTATATTGTAATGAAAATTCTACTGTATATAATGAATAAGAAATGCAAAGATATTATTAATTTTTTTAATTTTAATTTAATCAAAATTATTTTTAATTATTAAATAATAGTTAGTTTAATCATTTCATATATTAAATAAAATTTCATCGAAATTTTATTTTAAAAATAATAATTATATAAATAGTTTTTTACTATATACGGCTCCGCGCTCCTTGCGTCTTCTTCAAGAAGCCAATAGAAGCTTCTAGCATTATCTCGATTTTTCTTTGAACAAAATGCCCAGCCCCGTCATCCGCCCCTATATATTCCTCCCTTGATCCCTAACACTTAACACATTTTCAAATCTCAAGAAAAAGTTGAGCAAGAACAAGAAGACAATGGATGGTCAGTTTTTCGGAATGCGGAGCCAAATTTTCCCGTCGCTGCCGATCGTGCCAGAAGACGTGCCGGGAGAACGGGAGAAACTGGCGAAGATCTGTCTTCGCGAGATGAGGGAGAGTGTGCCGACGCTGGCAAACGTCAAGGAGATGCCGTCGGCCTACGAATTCGTAGTCGATATGCCTGGGGTCAAATCTGGAGACATCAAGGTTCAGGTCGAGGACGGCAAAAAGCTAACCATTGTAGGTGAGCGTCGCCGGGACGAGGATGACAAGGAAGGCGGCAAGTACCATTGCTCAGAGCGCAGGATGGGGAAATTTATGCGCAAGTTCTCTCTTCCCGACAACGCCAATCTCGAAAACATCACAGCCGTTTACCGCCACGGTATTCTAACTGCTACAGTGCAGAAGCTACCGGAGGCTGAATCTAAGTATCCGAAGACAATCGAGATTAAGATTGATTGAATCGATCAGTACATCTGAAATTTCAGGGTTTGTTTAACTACGTTCTCGAAGTGTTGGTTGATGTTTTGTGTTTTTGGTCTGAATTTGAATCGTCCTTATCTGCTTTCAATTCAAATTGTTCTATGCTTTCTTTAAAGGATTTTTTGTGCGTTTAATAATTTGGTTTAATTCCTATGATCTCTTCGTGTTGCTGAGCTAATTTTAACAATATTAAAATCAAGTAATAATCAAAGTCACGTTGGTAACATTCTTCAATTTGGAGGGCTATAAGCCTTCCTTCATTGTTTCTGTTGTGCGCTAAAATCTTGCCATTCTTTTTTGTGGATTAGATTGTTGCAGATTTAATTTTAGGAGCTGTTATATCAAGAATTTGACGTAAATTTGTCTACAAATTTCACGGTAAGATAAATCGCCGTTATTCTTCGGTTTGCCCTAAAAACCAGATTTACTAATTTAGCGGACAAGAAGTTGCGACGATTGCCTGTTCTTGCGTCCGTTGAAGCTTGACAGGAAGGCACCCCGAAGAAAAGGCGCTTATTGTGGATAGTTAATTAGATAATTAGTAATTAAATAATCATTAAAAGAATACTTAATAATTAATGAGATAATTCAGACTGTAACTAATAATTAAAAAAGTTAGATATAATATTTAAATAATTAATTAGTTAATTAATGATTTAATGAGTAATTAAATATTTATCAAAGTAAAATTAGTAATTAAATAATTAGTTAGATAATTTGATGTTTAAGTTAAATTTTAATTATATTATGTATATTTGTAACTTTTTGGCAGTAATAAAAAATAAATATAAATTTAGGTGCTGTTGCCTAAATTTAGGTGCTGTTGCAAGCGAACCAAATGTTCGATGAGCTACTCATTGTTCGGTTCAATTAAAACTCGTTTGTGATTGTTTAATTAACCAAACAAACATACTTGAACAATATTTTAAATACTCGATTTTTAAATAAACAAACTTGAACACTAATGTGTTCGGCTCATTTATGTTCGCGAACAACATCATTTGAAGTTCGTGAACAAGCTTGACATTAAGCTCGATTCGTATTCGATTTTGAACTCGTGAATAAGCTCAATAAAAATAATTAATATTTGACTATATAATTAATAAATGGACAATTGCTTTTATTATAAATGTGTTCGTTCATAGATATGTTTATGAACGTGTTTGTTTGATAGTTAAAAAAATTCGCTAAATATGTTCGCGAACAAGCTCGATAATCACTAAAAGAACATGAACTGAACATGAACCGAGCATGAACACTCATTAATTTAAATGAGCCAAACATGAACACAAACAATAAAGCTCGAACAAACATGAACCAAATTTGAACAAGCTAATATTAAATGAACACAAACATGAACACTCACATACTCAGCTCGCCTCGGTTCGTTTGCAGCCCTGGGATTTATGTAGCCTATCCCACGTAGTGGGACAAAGACTTGATGTTGTTGATAATAAAAATTACTATCTTGTCACTATAAGTCCAATGACTTAAAAATAATTAAAATTTAAGCATAAAGTACATTTACTTGACACGATTGAATCAAAATTGGCTAAATTGACTAAGGCTTCGTTTGGGAAAATTTTAGACCACATCTTCTTTCCTATTTTTAAGAGATTTTTATATTAAAATGTAGCTTTACGATGCACTAATAAAACCATCCAAATTTAAGTCTAAAAGGGAAATTGACTAGTTCCTATCCTTGTTGCCCATTTATTGTTGTCGTATGATACACATAGGTTTCGTTTGGGATGGCTTTCTTACTATTTTTTTTTTTAAATTAATATAAAAAATTCTTAAACTAGAATTTTTATGCTAAGAAGTTGTCTCAAATAAAACCTTAATTGTAATAGCATTGCATATTGCATATAAATAAATGTAATTCCATATGAATTGCTCTGCATTCCGTCTGTCTACTCTGTTCTCTTGTATCTTCTTTCTTTTCTTATCTTTTAAGATTACAAGATGTCTAATATCTCTATGATTCTCTTTTAAAGCTTTATTGATTGTTCTATTTAGCTATATATGTTTGGATGTTATGGATATTTCATATGTGCATATTAAGTTTCTCTTCTCAGAACAACACTCATTTGAGGTTGGCCACCCTCTATAAAACAATTTTAACAAATAAAAGGGGTTTTAGTTAATTATGACCTTCAAAATCCTTTTTTTTTCTTTTTGTTGCCTAAATTTAGGGAAAAAAGAAGCTCCAACTCTTTTGAGAAGGCTATATATTGGTTCAGATTTTTTCTCTCTACATAAAAAAATATGAAAGTATTTTTTTAAGGTAATAACATTAGAAAATTTGTTATTCAATACTTCAAAAAAATTTAACTTATTTTCAATGAAAGAGCTAAAATACTTTTCTTTCAAAATGTTGTTTGTGGTAGGACAATTAATTTAACTCTTATATCAATGATCTATCGAAAATTGTTTATGATTTCTTACAATTTTTATTTTTTATTTTTTTTCTTTTTGAGCTCACTTCATATTAATGTTCATGTTATAAATATTCGGTTAGAAATTTTCAATTGTTTACGTTAAATTTTGAGTTTTTTCAGCATTTAGGATTAATAAAAGAATTTATATTCGAAGAGAAAAGAGCGGGTACAGATTTATATATATTGACAATCTTTCTACTAACCCTAGATTCGTTATTTTCTTTAGAGTTATGATGTCTACGAGAGGGATATAAAAGAATATATTTGAAAACAATAATGCAATATTATCAAAAAAAATATAAAGTAGATTCAGAAGCTTGGAATAGTTTTTCTACTTACTGCTTTGATTAATCTGATCTCATCCCGTTTTGGTTAAATTCAAGTTTAACTAATTCCGCTATTTATATGAATAAATAAATTTAAAGGTTTCTTTTCTCTCATAAATCTTAAATCGAGAAAAAAAATCCAAATTATTTATTAGAATTTAACCGTATTTAATATTATATACTTATCTTATAAGTAGTTCTCAAATTTTGATGCTCAAACAATTTACTAAATTTCGATTTATTAAGGGGCTATTTAGTTGAAAAAAAAAAGAATGTAGAGTAAAAGAAATGTAATTGATATATCATCATTACTTTGATCGGGCACGAATCTTGAGGCAAAATTAAGTTGGAAACCTAAGAAATTAAATTTGGGACAATCCAAACTCCAATTTCAGCAAACTTATAGTGGAACTAAACATCTAAAAAATAATGACACCAAATGAGATCAAAAAGTAGACCCGAAATGCATTTAGCAAGTTCAAACCCTAAATTGAATGACCAAATGATTTACAAACGTGACATGCTTAAAGTTGAATCGAGTGGCTCGACGAATCGAATACAACGAGCCTAAGATTTCATTAAGACATTCAAATGGGGTTAACAGTTCACAATAAAGGGGATCAACATTAGCCGTCCATTCAAACAACTCTTAATTTACCATTGATCTCCCTCTTATTTATTGGTCATGATACTATCAGAAAACTATAAATAGACCTCGCATTCCTCATGGAAGAGAACTCAAGTAAGGAAGAGAAGGAATAGATAGAAACTAAATTTGTCCTTCCGCCAAACTCCTCGACAATCACCGGGCTGAATGCCGGACTTCTGCCCGACCACTTACTGTCGCTGGACATCCGCCTGACCATTGACTGTCGCTGGATTTCTAGCTGGCCACCAATTGTCGCCGGACTTCTGTCCGACCATCGATTGACTATGAATTTTCACTCGGCCATCGAATGTCACCAAATTTCCATTTAATCTTCGTTCGTCACTAGATTTCAACCCGACAGTTGACTGTTGTAATATGATTGTCCTCAATGTCAAGGACGAGCAAGATATTTGTAATATATTCAAACACTAGTGGAATTATTTCAACTGAGCGTGACCTTGTGGTTTTTCCCTTTCTTAGTGTTTTCCATGTAAAAATTAATCCTGTATTTTCTGTTTGTGTGTTGGATATCTATGCAATGCTGTGACAAAAAATTCCAACTCTATCGCCGCATATATTCTAGCCTGCAACAGAATTGTAAAATAAATACAATATAAAATGAATACTTTGGAGTTGTTGGATGAATGTAAAATAAATGAATGTAATATAAAATTCAAAGATAGTGGTAGCTTTCGATTGGTGGTAGTAGTTGGCGGTTGGTGGCAACAACCGGTAGTGGTGGCCGATGGCCGGTGGTAACGACGACTGGCATAGGTCGGTAGTGGTGGAGGTTGGTGTTGGCCGGAGGTGGTGGTGGTGGCGGTAGGTGGTGGCCTGTGAGTGGCGATGGTAGTGGCCTGCATCGTGCGGTGGGGTGGCGGCCAATGGTGGTGGGAGGTGACGATCAAGAGAGCTTGTTTGTAGTGTAAACTATTCTCGCTCAAAATCGGGTGAGTTTAGTTTACCTTAAAAATGAACTAAAAGAATGTACACTACCTTTACTTTACTTTGCATTCTTTTTTCATCCAACCAAATATCAATATTTTCAAAATCACTGCATTTATAATAATTTACACCCATTTTACTTCCAACCAAATTAAACAACCCCTAAATCCTATTTATTGCTAAATTGTCTCTTAAATTTTGTGAAAGGAAGAATTTTTATACCTGTTATTTGTTAAATCATCTGACTATGGTGAAATTTAAAAAAGAAGATTTAATCAATAAAGATACTATAATGGGATTTTTCAAAATAATAAGATTTAAAATAAACAACTTGTTTGCGGGATTTAAGTTAAATTTATGTTTTGTTTGGGACAACTTTTTAATATCTTTTGTAGTTAAAAATAACTTATAGTAAAAAATAATGTGTATTTGGAAACCACTTTTTTACTATTTTATTTAATTTATGCATTTGAAAAGCTGTTTTTGAAAAAAAGTTGTTTTGAAACTATAAAGAAGAAAGGAGCTTTTAAAAGCAAAATCAAAGAAATTTAGGTAATTTTTTTTTAAACAATAAAAAAATTGTGTTTAAGTCAAATTGGGCTCCATCAAATTAAGGTTTTATTTAGTACAACCTTCGTACCGCTTTCTAAAGAAGTTTTTTATACAAAAATTTAGTTCAAAAAATTTTTATACTAAAAAATTGTAAGAAAGCTATCTCAAATGAAGCCTAAGTCATTTCAATTTTAGCATGACTAAGTTTTCAATTTTTGTAGCTCTTTGAGCATTAGGGAGCTTGAGACCCCCTTAAGG